ATCTTCTGTATGAATCAAAACCGATAAATACTGTATATCATATTTTCTGCTTTGTTCACGTGGTGCACTTGACGCTTTATCAGACTCATATCGTATAATAGTTATTGCTGAAGTCAGCACATAAAGTAATAGAAGATTTTGTCTATGGATGCGTGATCTTATATGAATCAAAACTCATAAATACTGTATATCATATTTTCTCTTCTACATTGATTGGGCTCAAATCCCCTGCTGTTCATTACCCTACAGTCCCCTGCTGTGAGCTGATTAATGCTGTGTTTGGCTTGGCACAAGAAAAAGAAGTCCAAAAACGGCAAAGTAACTTAACGTGTCAATTGTAAAGCCAAAAAAAAAAAAAAAAAAAAAAGAAAGTTGAAATAAGCTGCCGCCCCCGCGCTTCTGTAGTTTCACTTTCCCCTTCTTCCATTTTGCTTTTGTTATTTCCCTCCTTCTTTTTTCATTTTATTCATTATTTCTTTTTAATTTCTTTAATCCAAACCCTTATTCCTCTCTCTTTGTTCCATACAAAAAAACATATTGCTTTTGAATTCTTTTTTTATTGAAAACCCTAATTCCTCTCTCCTCTATTCTTACTTTTTTACTATATTTTTTTGAATCAAAACCCAGATTGCAGTGTGCTGATTTCTTCAATACAATGTCAGCTATTCATCTACAGGAAGGAAATCTACAATGGACCTGATATGGTATCTACAATTGACCTAATTAATGCTTGATTGTTGGTAAGTCTTAATACATGTTATTAATATTGTGCATTTAATATATTGTTCATTTACAGTGAAATTTTTGTTTTGAACGGAACAATGCAGATTTAGAAAATTTATGATTCTTTCATTTCTCATCGATCTGTCATTGTAATGAATGTAAAATCTTCCATAATTGATTTTTAGAACTGAATTGGCTTTAGTAGGTATGAATGTGATATAAAAAAAAATTGGTATTAAATGCATGCGGCAATTAGACATTTCAGAGGTTAATATTTGATATTTATGAGGAAAAAAAAATTACGAAGTGTAACAAATAGGGACTCTGATCACCTTCACCATCAAAATAAGTTATTCACACAGTATGACTAACTTATGTCACACATAAACTTAAGAATTTATGATTATTTTATTTGTCATCTGTTAGTGTAAACTATGATATTTTTTAATTGAAATTGACATTGGTTAAGCATTATAGTGAATCTGAAATCTTAGATAATTGTAGGGTTTTCTTCTATAATCATAAATAAGCATTCTAGTGAATGTAAAATCTTCCATAATTATTATTTTTTAACTGAGTTGGCTTCATTAGGTACCAATGTGTTATCCAAATACTTTGTCTTCTCATATATGCGGCAATTACACATTTCACAGGTTATTATGAGACATTTATGAGAAAAAAAATATTGTGAAGTTTAATAAGTAGGGACACTGATCACCTTCACCATCAAAATAAGCTATCACACAGTTCTGCAAAACTAATTTCACACCTCCGCAAAACTAATTTCACACCTAAATTTAACATTTTTTAATTATTTCATTTGTCATCTGTTAGTGTAAATTATGATATTTTTCTACTTGAAATTGACATTGGTTAAACATTCTAGCGTATTCGAAATCTTGGATAATTGTAGGATTTTCTTCTATAATCTTCAATAACCATTCTAGTGAATGTAAAATCTTACATAATTGTTTTTTTTAACTGAGTTGGCTTCATTAGGTACCAATGTGTTATCCAAATATTTTGTCTTCTCATGTATGCGGCAATTACACATTTCACAGGTTATTATGTGACATTTATGAGAAAAAATACATTGTGAAGTTTAATAAGTGGGGACACTGATCACCTTCATCATCAAAATAAGCTATTTACATAGTTCTGCAAAACTAATTTCACACATCTGCAAAACTAATTTCACACCTAAATTTAACATTTTTTAATTCTTTCATTTGTCATCCGTTAGTGTAAATTATGATTTTTTTTTACTTGAAATTGACATTGGTTAAGCATTCTAGCGTATTTGAAATCTTAGATAATTATAAGATTTTCTTCAATAATCCTCAATAACCATTCTAGTGAATGTAAAATCTTCCATAATTATTTTTTTTTAACTGAGTTGGCTTCATTAGGTACCAATGTGTTATCCAAATATTTTGTCTTCTCATGTATGCGACAATTACGTATTTCACAGGTTATTATGTAATATTTATGAGGAAAAAAACAATGTGAAGTCTAATAAGTAGGGATACTGATCACCTTTACTATCAAAATAAGCTATTCACACAGTTCTGCAAAACTAATTTCACACCTAAAGTTAACATTTTTTAATTCTTTCATTTGTCATCTGTTAGTGTAAATTATGATATTTTTTTACTTGAAATTGACATTGGTTAAGCATTCTAGCGTATTTGAAATCTTGGATAATTGTAAGATTTTCTTCTATAATCTTTAATAACTATTCTAGTGAATGTAAAATCTTCCATAATTGTTTTTTTTTTTTTTTTTTAACTGAGTTGGCTTCATTAGGTACCAATGTGTTATTCAAATATTTTGTCTTCTCATGTATGCGGCAATTACGCATTTCACAGGTTATTATGTGATATTTATGAAGAAAAAAACATTGTGAAGTTTAATAAATAGGGACACTGATCACCTTCACCATCAAAATAAGCTATTCGCACAGCTCTACAAAACTAATTTCACACCTCTGCAAAACTAATTTCACACCTAAATTTAACACTTTTTAATTCTTTCATTTGTCATCCGTTAGTGTAAATTATGATATTTTTTTACTTGAAATTGACATTGGTTAAGCATTATAGTGTATTTGAAATCTTGGATAATTGTAGAATTTTCTTCTATAATCTTCAAGAACTATTCTAGTGAATGTAAAATCTTCCATAATTATTATTTTTTAACTGAGTTGGCTTCATTAGGTACCAATGTGTTATCCATATATTTTGTCTTCTCATGTATGCAGCAATTATGCATTTCACAGGTTATTATGTGATATTTATAAGGAAAAAAATATTATGAAGTTTAATAAGTAAGGACACTGATCACCTTCACCATCAAAATAAGCTATTCACACAGTTCTGCAAAACTTATTTTACACCTCTGCAAAACTAATTTCACACCTAAATTTAATATTTTTTAATTCTTTCATTTGTCATCTATTAGTGTAAATTATGATATTTTTTACTTGAAATTGACATTGGTTAAGCATTCTAGCGTATTTAAAATCTTGGATAATTGTAGGATTTTCTTCTATAATCTTTAATAACCATTCTAGTGAATGTAAAATCTTCCATAATTGTTTCTTTTAACTGAGTTGGCTTCATTAGGTACCAATGTGTTATCCAAATATTTTGTCTTCTCTTGTATGCGGCAATTACACATTTCACAGGTTATTATGTGACATTTATGAGAAAAAATACATTGTGAAGTTTAATAAGTAAGGATACTGATCACCTTCACCATCAAAATAAGCTATTCACACAGTTTTGCAAACTAATTTCACACCTTTGCAAAACTAATTTCACACCTAAATTTAACATTTTTTAATTCTTTCATTTGTCATCCGTTAGTGTAAATTATGATTTTTTTTTACTTGAAATTGACATTAGTTAAGCATTCTAGCGTATTTGAAATCTTGGTTAATTGTTGGATTTTCTTCTATAATCTTCAATAACCATTCTAGTGGATGTAAAATCTTCCATAATTGTTTTTTTTTTTTTTTAACTGAGTTGGCTTCATCAGGTACCAATGTGTTATCCAAATATTATGTCTTCTCATGTATGTGGCAATTACACATTTCACAGGTTATTACGTAACATTTATGAGAAAAAATACATTGTGAAGTTTAATAAGTAGGGACACTGATCACCTTCACCATCAAAATAAGTTATTCACACAGTTCTGCAAAACTTATTTCACACCTAAATTTAACGTTTTTTAATTCTTTCATTTGTCATCCGTTAGTGTAAAATATGATTTTGTTTTTACTTGAAATTGGCATTGGTTAAGCATTCTAGCGTATTTGAAATCTTGGATAATTGTAGAATTTTCTTTTATAATCTTCAATAACCATTCTAATGAATGTAAAATCTTCCATAATTGTTTTTTTTTTTAACTGAGTTGGCTTCATTAGGTACCAATGTGTTATCCAAATATTTTATCTTCTCATGTATGCGGCAATTACACATTTCACAGGTTATTATGTAACATTTATGAGAAAAAATACATTGTGAAGTTTTATAAGTAGGGACACTGATCACCTTCACCATCAAAATAAGCTATTCGCACAGTTCTGCAAAACTAATTTCACACCTAAATTTAACATTTTTTTAATTCTTTCATTTGTCATCCATTAGTGTAAATTATGATTTTTTTTATTTGAAATTGGCATTGGTTAAGCATTCTAGCGCATTTGAAATCTTGGATAATATTAGGATTTTCTTTTATAATCTTCAATAACCATTCTAGTGAATGTAAAATCTTACATAATTATTTTTTTTTAACTGAGTCGGCTTCATTAGGTACCAATGTGTTATCCAAATATTTTGTATTCTCATGTATGAGGCAATTACGCATTTCACAGGTTATTATGTGATATTTATGAGGAAAAGAACATTGTGAAGTTTAATAAGTAGGGACACTGATCACCTTCACCATAAAAATAAGCTATTCACATAGTTCTGCAAACTAATTTCACACCTCTGCAAAACTAATTTCACACCTAAAGTTAAATTTTTTTAATTCTTTCATTTGTCATCAGTTCGTGTAGATTATGATATTTTTTTTACTTGAAATTGACTTTGGTTAAGCATTCTAGTGTATCTGAAATCTTGGATAATTGTACGATTTTTTAGCCCTTTTCATTGTTCGGTAAATATTTAGTATTTTTTTTTTTTTTTTTTGTCACAAGTTATAGAAACTGACTTTAACGTTTTGATGGACCTTTTGCTTCTTGTAGCATTCATACTGAAGTTATCCCAATGGATGATGACTTAAGTATTAATGATGTAAAAACAAGTGTTCCAATCGTTGCCGAAATCAATATTTTTGAAAACTTAGTAACAGAAGTTGTCAATCCCATTGACATAGAATTCACACCAAAATTGAACATGCAGTTTGACATTGAGGATGAATCATACGACTTTTACAATGCTTATGGGGGTAAAGTTGGATTCAGTATTCGTAAGGATTATGCAAATAAAAGCCGTAAGACAGGAAATATTACAATAAGCAAGTTTGTGTATTCCAAACAAGGTTTTAGGGTGAAGGACAAGAGGGATATCCATACAAGAAAGCCCAGGGCTGAAACTCGAACCGGTTGTGGTGCACTGATGCAAATTACATATGACTGCAAGAAGGGAAAGTATGTTGTATATAATTTTGTCGAATCTCACAATCATCCTATGATAATTGAAGAATGCACACATATGATGCCATCACAACGAAGAATAAGTGTTGCCCAAGCAATTGAAGTGGAATTGGCCTGCCAATTTGGAGTTCTACTCGGTAATGTATTTGAGTTAATGAGCAAGTAGGCTGGTGGGAGACAATCAATTGGCCATACCAAAGTTGATCAACAAAATTTTCTAAGGACAAGAAGACAGAGTGAGTTAGAATACTGAGAGAAGACATGGCTGATGAATTATTTCAAAATTCAATCTTGTGAGAATCCTTCATTTTTTCACATCGTGCAGTTGGATAGCGATGAAATGATAACTAATATCTTCTGGGCAGATTCGAGAATGATAATTGACTATGGGCATTTTGGAGACATCGTCACATTCGACACGACATACAAGCTCGTCCAAAGCAATCGTCCTTTTGCGGCTTTTCTTGGTTTGAATCATCATCGGAAGACTGCTGTCTTTGGACTAGCATTGATGTATGACGAGACTGCCAATTCCTTTGCGAGGCTGTTTGATTCATTCTTGAATGCAATGTCAGGTAAATAGTATAAATGTAATTTTTTTTTTTCTTCTTGCAATTATTAAAAGCTGAAGTTGATCATGCCCTTTTTTAACCCTTTCCTTTTCTTTTTTTTTTTTCTTTTTTTATTTTTTTTATTTTTTTATATACTTTTTCAATATGATTCTGATTTTTATGTAAATTACTTGTGGTTACTTGAGTGAGTTTATTGTTTGTACCTTGTAGCTCACCAGTAACTTAATCATATTTGAAGTCTACTACACTACCTGGAGATGTTAGAATCTTTGCTTCCCAAGGGTAATAGCAAGAGTCATTGATTCCTTCCAAATACCTGTATATGTTTTCCTGAATACAAATACTGAATAATGCATTGATAATACTCGTGTATAAAATACTAACTTTTTCTTGTATACGTACATGTCCATTATGTGCACTCTCGGGTTGAGTTTGAGTCATATTTTAAAAAACAAGCAGAGAAGAATAATGAGATGAAGGTGGAAATGTAAAGAATGTGGATTGTGTGAGGTGAAAGATTGGAAGAGTGCATTTGGTTAAAAAAAAAAAAATGAATTGGTTTAAGATTCCATGTAGGTTAAAATTATAATTTAATTATCTGTGCTGTACCTACTAAATTAGAAGTTAATTATCAAGGAGAGAACAATGAATAATATCTGTTTTTCTGTTTCTATATCATGGAAAAGAAAAACAAAAATAGTTGCAACATTTTATTGTACTCATTTTGTCAAATGTCAAGGGTAAAATAAGAATTCTAACTCCTCTATTCTTTTTGTTCACATCTTTTACACCAAAAGGATTTAGCTCAAATTATAACTCTTTATGTCTTAAAAAAAATTTATATCTCTTTAATAATAATAATAACAACAAAAGGTGTTGTGGGAGATGTAAAGAATGTGGATTGTGGGACTTACCTAAATAAAGTCCTTTTATTTTTATTTCTCTTTCATCTCATTATTTTTCTCTGCTTGTTTTTTAAAATATGACTCAAACTCAACCCGAGAGTGCACATAATGGACATGTACGTATACAAGAAAAAGTTAGTACTTTATGCACGAGTATTGTCAATGCATTATTCAGTATTTGTATTCAGGAAAACATATACAGGTATTTGGAAGGAATAAATGACTCTTGCTACTACCCTTGGGAAGCAAAGATTCTAACATCTCCAGGTAGTGTAGTAGACTTCAAATATGATTAAGTTACTAGTGAGCTACAAGGTACAAACAATAAACTCACTCAAGTAACCACAAGTATTTTACATAAAAATCATAATCATATTGAAAAAGTATATATAAAAAAAAAAAAAAAAGAAAAAAAAAGAAAAGGAAAGGGTTAAAAAAGGGCATGATCAACTTAAGCCTTTAATAATTGAACATGGCCATTCTTTTTTACCTTTTTTTATGTGAATTACTTTTTCAAATGAAGATATTTTATTGGGCCATAATGTTCTTGCCTTCAAATTTTCAATACTGTTAAAAATTTTAGTAATGACGTATGATAAGATTGCCTATTCATTGACATGCCTTTTTGATATATTCTTGAATGTGACGTTAGGTAAAGCACCACAAACGATTCTTACTGACCAAGATGGTGCAATGGTAAAGGCGTTGGCACAAGTTATGCCGAGGACAAGACATTTATTTTGCACGTGGCACATCATTGCAAATGCACAGAAGCATGTAGGCACCATTTTAGGAATGATGAAGGGATTAAAAGTGTGCTGAGTCAATTCATGTACTGTTACGATGATGAGGATGATTTTTGTATACAATGGGATGTAATGTTAAGGGACTACAATGTTGTTGGTAACACATGGTTGAACAATTTGTTTGGTTTGAGAGAAAAATGGGGTTATCCATTTGTTAAACATTGGTTTACCACTGGAATACGGATAACGTAGCTGAGTGAAAGTCTAAATAGCTGCTTGAAAGAGTACTTAACCAGGAAAATGAGTATTCCAGATTTGTTCATGCACCTTGACACGCTATTGTCAGACAAACGGTACAAGGAATATCAAGCTGAGTATAGTTTACTCAGTAAACTACCTAGACTTAAACAAAATTGTCCCATTCTAAAACAAGTGGGCAATATGTACACGTTGAAGATTTTTGAACTTTTCGAGGACCAATTCATAGAAGCTTGTGTGGTTGTTACCGTGGAAGGAACAAGTTTAGATGAAAATGGATTACGTGTTTCTAGAGTATCTGTTTATGATGGCAGTATGGATTGGACTGTGACAAGGTGGGATGATGGCTTTCTAAGTTGTTCGTGCGGGAAATATGCAATGGAAGGTATTTTGTGCAGCCATGTACTTAAAGTATTGAAAGACGACACTCATTATTTCAAAGAATTACCTTCTATGTATATACTTAAAAGGTGGACGATAAAAGCTAGGGATAACAACGTACAAGACATCCGTGGATGTGAAGTTATTGCTGATCCTAAACTTGAAGTACGTAGAAGGTATAGGATGTTATGTCGTTTTTTTACAGAAATCAGTTCATTTGCATCCGAGAAAGAAAAGGTATTCAATAATTTGAAGCTAAAGGGGATGAAATGGAAAAGGAAACACATTAATGTTGAAAGGCAATGTTTCGATGTTGAACAAAAGGCAACCAATTCAGCTTTTTCAACTGAAAGAAGTAATAATCATGAACATAATAAAAGTATCATTGGGCAAGCCGTGACCGGAAGTAATGCCAAGGGTATAAAGAATAAAGAAACAGGTGGTAAGGGACCAAGGCGCAGGAAGAAGAATAAGTTTGAATAATACATGCAGAGAAAAAAAAAACTATGCGAAACGAAAGGTTAATTTAATTTATTTTTTATTATTTGATAATTTAATTTTCCAGTATATGTCATTAACATTTTGATATTAGCAATGTCATAATTTTGTTTTTACAATGAATAAATCTATTGTTTTGTAGAAATCAAATGGCAACAACAGTGTTGGTGCAGGGGTAGGTGGCAGTGGTACCGTGCCACCTATTACATATGTACGTCTGAATGTGAGTTTTCTCATTTTCTTAAATGAAAACATTGATTTTTTATTTTTTATATATTATTATAATTTTCAGTATGATAATCTCTTAATTAAGAATGTTTATATTGAAATAAGGGTTGTGACATTCCTAGCGACGCCATTTGGATTTACGAAGATCATCACCCATGTGCACGTTTACATTCAGAAACAAATATCGACCAAATGACATATTGTCCTACCACTAACTTCAGTCATCCCAGGACTCCACCAACTGAACAGGTATAAACAAACTTTTATTCTGAACTAGGTATATAAAAATTAATGAACATTATTTCATACTTTAGAAATCCATTAGTTAATGAACATTGAGAATATATTGGCAGGGGACTCCATTTGTTTCGTATCTTGAATGCCGATTCTCAGATTATCTTGTAAGTTTATCTCTTATAAAATTTACGCTTCTGCAATATATTCTAAACATGTATGTTTTAACTTTGCATTAATTAACGTATGTACAAACATTGTTTTTATATGATCCATTTTAAGGATGTTGATCACACCAGTGGTGACCGTAATTTGATGCCAATGTCGGAGGAGACAACATCCGAGATCAATCCTCCTGCTCGGCAAAATTTGTTTTGAGTTAAGAAATTCTTAACAAATTGATGGTGTATAGGTATGCTATGGTTGATGAATGATAACAGAATATGGTGGTATAAAAAATATATCCCTTTTTGTGTAAGGATTTGTAAATGTATGGATAACTTGTTCACTTTTGTTTTTTGGTTTTTGTATATATGGAAAATGAAATGGATTTTTATTCAGGCCTATTTATGTTAATTGAAATATGTATGTGTACATATATTGTTTGGTCCATTTTGTTTGTGATTTGGGACAGGTTGAAACCATTAATTTCAAGGTGACATGGTTCCGTGAATGGCATCTGGCTATTTTCTCCAATGATGGCGATACTTAATTGCTTCTTGCGTATGGCTATTTTATGTTAGACAGTGCTAATTAAATTATCAATCCCAAAAGTTCCCTTTTGTTACTTCAAAAGTTAAATACAACATCACAATACATACATCACATTACATACACACATATATCACATTACATACGGAAAACGACGTCAACAGTTATCATCAGTTGACTATGACTTTTTCTCCAATGATACCAGACACCATCAATATGTGGAGATCGCAATGGCAAAGATTACATTTTATTTTCTCCTCATTTATTCCTTCGACCATCCACCATTTGACGTGAACCATGTCACCTTCATAGTTCGGTGGTCCATAATCTTCCTCACAACAAGCAGGAATGTTATGAAATAACCCATTTGACCACCCTCTTTTCACTATTGAAATCATTTGTTCCCTCCGATGATTTATGATCAGTTTATTTGTTATGTCTGTGTTCATGTTCGAAAGTTGTTGAATACCATTTACTTTATCAGCATCATTGCCATATATTAATGCAATGGCTAAAGCAAACTTACAACCAGTATGCTGAAGATATGCACCTTTGGTTAGAATACTTAGCCCATTTGCCTGATTTTGATGCAAGAAAATAGCTCCTACATCCAACATAAAGTTATTAAAAATAAAACCCGATTAAATTACTTTCACAATTTAGTAAAGTGAGTGCAAGCAACGTACCACTCCGAAGAGAAACATAGCCTCCAAATTGCCATCATCAACACATTTTTGCATGAACACGCATCGCAAATAGTAAGTATCACTGGTACCCCCCGTTTGTATTTCGTACAAGGATTTAAAACTGAGATGTCGTAACATATGTGGCTTCAAACACACCATAGCTAGCTTATGAGAACTGCACATATTTAAACACTTTTAACTTTTATTTCGTGAATGAAGAAAATATTATAAACATAAAACAATAATGTACAATTAAATGCTTACCATTGTTGAAGTTGTAGTAGGTCTTGAAAATTATTTGCTGCCACTCTACTAACCACCTCACTGAGCAACGGTGGTGGGAGTTCTTCTATTTCCATTTTTAGACTACTTGTTTTGTGTATGCTGGTTACCTTTTGGGGGAAGGTTAACCGTTGGTTTACCAGAAAGGGAAGAACTTATGTTGGATATATAGTCAATATGCATAGCCAATTAATCTGGTAGGTTAGGATTAGTTGAACACAAAATTGTGTAATAAGTTACAGGTGTTAGCTGTAAATGTATAATTAAATGCGCTGCTTGTTTGATATGACTAAGTTTATCTACAACTCCTCTATTATATATAGATATTTGATTGAACCGACAAATCTCCTCTAAGTACATTCACCATCTCAACTAAGTATTCATATCCTGCTATTTAAGTAATAGCACATATGAAATTATCTGAATTCACCATACTGTTTTTCTAATTTGAAGTGAATATAGAGAAAATAATATGTGTGTGTGTGGGCGTGTGTGTGTATATTAATAAGAAAGCATAAATTTTTTTTTAAAAAAATACAATCTTCACCTTCATAATTAAGTATTCACACCCTGCTGTATAAGTAATATCACATACAAAACTATATGAATTAGCCAAACCACAATTATGTGATATGTTAATTCAGACATTTATTATATTTTGTCTTCTCACGTATAAAGAGTATCTTATAATTTTTACTAAAATTAAAGAGTTATATAAGAAACACTTGTAAATATTCAAAACTGCTAGTCAAAATGCCATAAGATCCTAACTTTAAACAAACTATAACAAATGGAGCTGCAGAATAATTTCAAACAAAAAAGATTAATTTCCTATGTCCTTGTATTCAATTACATCAAAGGATCACACAAGTCTCCAATGAAAGCTTTTAGTTCTGAAAATGGAGAAGAATTTAAGACAGCCTTACGTGAAAGCTTTCAATTCTGAAAATGGAGAACAATTTAAGACAGTAGAGACTTGCTAAAGGATATATGTTAATGAGGTGAACATGACCCATGGTGCGTATAATCCAGATAAATAAACCTGACGCCTTAAAAGGCCCTCAAAAATATGCAGAGGATAGAGTGTGTTTCAGACCTCACTAGTAGGTATTTATTTATTTAATTTGATACGTCAATATTAACTGTGAACTACTCAAAAACACCATAGTGGGTGCAACCATTTACTTGCAAAGCATATAAAAGCAATAAAATATACGCTCTGATAAGCTTAGATTTCCTAAATGAATCAACCAAATAAACATGTTGAGATATGAAAAGTAGTTTAAAGATTGACCAAATTCAGTATATGAATACAAAGCCTAACTTTTTACAAAACTACCCTGTACCCAAATTTATACAAAACTAACATGTACAAAACATTCGCATAACAGCCCCATACAAGCTTGAATCGTTACAAGGTAGGACAAAAATAAAACGGAGTAACTTTCATGACAAAAGGCATTCCATTGACAAAAACTAAACCTTAACATAGCACCAGTTTCATCACCACCTAAAATTAAAGCTTGCAACCTGGTGCAAATTTAACTTTTCTCCCATACTTGGCATTGTTGTTCAAAATCTCTTGCCTACATTCGTCCAAAGGATCGGTCAAAAGTTGCAGTGCCATTTCTATGCGGATCACAGTAGAGTCCGTCTGTATCGTTACATAGAAGTAACATACTGTTAGGAAAAAATATATATTATGTTTAAACCATTGTAAAATAGAAAAATATTTCACAATGACATTATACTAACATTGAAGCTTCCCAACAATCTTCTGCCATCCTATAACTCCATGAACCTCATAAGAAAAAGTCCACATGAATGTCTGAACAATAATTAAAAATGGTATAAGAGAGCTACTGAGGAAGTTCGTGTCAAACATATAGGTAATAAGTTAAATAACAAAAAGATTTCAAAAGTATAAAGTCAAACATACGGGTCAGGCTGCACGGGTAAATCTTGATGCTTTATGATATCATAAAAATCCAATTTCTCTCATAGTGCAATGTCAAGAAAATCTTTCTGCAATACGAAAACAAAATTACTAACAATATGATCATATCAAATTAAAAAATGAAATGAATTAGAATAAAAGAGTTGTATACCACCAATAAACTATAATTTATGTGCCTAAAACTAACTCCGCTGCTACATATGTAATGAATAAGCTTATCCGGATGGTGAATGACAAACAAGAACCAATGATTACTGACGCATGCAGGGAAATAGAACTGTTAAACATACGACATATATTAGTAGTGGAATATTGTCACAACCAGAAACCATAGGCAGAAGACATGGATTGTTAAAGAAAATAACATACCAACTCAGATTTATGAAAGTCGCTGGTCTTTGTTTTTAATTTTCTGCAGTATTTGTCCCAAGCGCTCACTAAGCGTTTCCTGTGCTCCTCCTTATTACTTACAAACTCCACATTCTCATCCCTGATGCAACTTACCGCAAAACTGGAAAAATAGTACTTCATTTTCTTCTCATCCTGTTTTTTGTTTAGAAGCGTCGAATAACAATCAATTACTTATAAGAAAGGAAAATCATATGTTAAGGACAAAAAAAAAAAAAAAAAAAAAAAAAAAACAAATTTAACATGGACTAAAAATATGAATGGGGTTAATATTCATGTAATCCACTCACAACATTTGCCACCCACTCATCACCGAACATCGTAAGAATATCAGCCCGATTTAGTTGTGCAACATCAATACTTACCAAAGTTTCACTAACATAACAGAATAAAATAAGTATTTAAAAAACATTAAACATAAGATTAAGCATAAAAAAGGGCATGCCTAGAATCTGTCATATCCATTACTTACGTTTTGTCACGGTCAGGGGCTCTGACAAATTTCAACAACATTTTGTCATTAGTACTAAGTCTAATTTTTTTCTTAGACTCTGTTTGATCCCAGGGAGAGCGTGCATATTGTGACCTACCTCATCGACGACCACTAACAGCTTCTTTGGGGACATAATCATCAACTCCTGTCATGTATAATCAATATCAATTATTAATTTAAGGTAATCATAATAGGATAAACGAAAAGATGGTTGAGCATTTAAAGAATTATACGTATAGGGATGTTTGAGAAATTGATATCCTTTTATGCCTCTTGCACAACATTTAAGCCATCTTCAACACCTTCCCCTGCAGCCTCCAGATTACCTGTCCCAGCATGAGCCATGGATTGGTCAGTATTTAAGATACTGGCTTCGACATTTGATTCTTCTACATGATTAAAGCACTTTTCAACTTGGTTAGAATTGTCATCAACTCCACATTCATCGTCAAATTCAACAATGTCATTTTCATAAATATTTACTCCTTCACCGCTTATTCCATGAACCACCGAATGGGGATCAGACGAGTTGCTTTGCGGCTACATATTCAAATGCTCACCACTTTCTTCTCCAATACTCGTGCGACCTGAACTGGTGTTACCCTCCACAGTACCTTTCTTTCGTTTCTCCCGTCGCCTTTCCCTAATGGATTGAAGTCTCGTGAAAATTTGGTTAGTATTTTGAAGTTGCATCTTCAATTCTTGAAAGCAGCGCTGCACACACCAGATAATAGGTTAAGAAGTTGCGATCTTATGACAATAAGAACAAATATACAAAAAAAAACATAATGTAATGTAAACTTCATAAAAATATCAATTTATTAATGGAATGTATATTTAC